CTGGGTAGTGATGTTCCTATCATCGGTCAGGGAGATTTTAACATCTGTGGCCATGGTATCACACTTAGCAGTTTTATCGTCAGCTAACATGAGGTGAGTTGTTTGTGTTCTCCTTTCGATATCTTTCAATAATGCAAAGCGATCGGATATACATGAAATTTCTGATCCAGGATCAATCAACGCAAGAGTTTTATTTCCATTGCAATATACAGGGATTATTACACGCTCATCAAAAGAGTCGTTGTACTGTCTGTGTAACGATTGTACCCGGTTGTATCGTCAGTCCAACTTAATGTCGGGTCTGACGTTACACAATTTAGTGTGGTAGCCATTGGTCTTCTCACATTTATCGCATTATGTAAGATAGTGTTAACAAGATTGGGCATGCTTTCCGTTTCAGTAACCGTTAGGGGTAAACTGGTACATGTCATAACCACATTTCTCATCAGCACATTTCTTAACTTGCTTGTATGCAGTTTCCTTGTGCTCCGCACGCACCTTATTAACAGGGCGTGTAAATTGAGTAGATTCACGTGGACGTGTATGTTGGGGTCTCTCGGTTGAGGTCTGCCTGGATACGTACCCTTGATCAGTCTGCTCCCGCGGTTTCTTAACAACCGCCTTCTCCTGCGAGGTCATTCGCTTCTTAAGAGCGGCTAACTGATTCTTAAGCTCAGTGTTCTCATCGATCAACTTACTTATGTGCGATGGCTGGTTTGATTCTGATTCGGGTCGGCTCTCTGAGCTTTCCTTCTCATACTCTCCCTTAAGCGGGTTGTCTCATTTCTTCGTAATTGGAGTTAGATCCTTCTGAGTGGTCTCATCAGGTTTAGTAGGGATCGTCTTAACCGATCGTTTCGCGTGGCTTCTTGGCTTCGTAAACGTAAGCTTCGAAGTAGACGCAATAGTTGGCCCGCGGGCTTTTACTTCAGGGGACTTCTCTCTTAATGGAGTGTCTTCACCCTTCTCCGTTGTATTGTTCTGGTTAATAATACCAGTAGCAATGATTTAGGTTACGGATTGATTGTCCTCTTCTGCGGTCGAGTTGAATGCGGCTGCAGTAGCGGCGTCTCTCTCCATCATCTTCTTTTCAGCTCTACGCTTCTTAGAAGGAGTGTTGTCTTTCTTGGTCATAATCTTAACTTATGACTGCTAGCTGATCTCTTAAGGACTAGCTTGGACAAGAAAAATTTTGTGGTAGTTTTCTACCTTTACGTTTAAGTAGTCTAAGTAGTTAATACCTTTGCTAACTTTAAAATGTGCAAGATTCGGTCTCTCAATGCGATATTAACGCCTTAGAATAAATAAACGCGCAGGTAAATTCTAAGTATCGTGAAAATATCAAAGTAAATAAACGAAATAAGACATTTAGTAAAGTTAGGTATGCCTCGTGAAAACAGCAATACTCTCCGGGATTGTGAGGCTGAGACATTGCCTATATATAATCCTCTCAGTACTGTTTCCGCCGAAGGGATTTTATTTAGTGTTTCGTTGTCGCTCTATTAGAAACTATGGTCCGTTTCATTTGGGCGAATCCGAGAGACTCATAAAATCCTATCTTTAGAAAAAATAAATAAAAAAATAAAAATACTCTTGAAGTCCTTAGTTATTGTCTTAACCAATAACTTGCCACTATGAAGAATTACCGACTTAGCCTTCATCAGACTGGCACATCTGGTTGGCTGATCGGAGGATCAACTAGGTAACGTTAATAGTCCCTAGAAACCTATATTCGGTTGAGCCATCTCGCTACCGAAGTATTCAGATATAAATAAAGTTGGAAAGTAAATAAAGTCTATTAATAGAACTAGACCAACTCTTTATGTTTGGCATTTTACTGAGGCCTTTTAATGGCTCGTCCAAATATCTGATATGTAAAATGGAAAAGGTATTAATTAATAAAACCATTAAAAACCATTTTAGGAAACTTAAGTTCCTCGTACTATTAAGAGTACATTTAGGAAACTTAAGTTCCTCGTACTATTAAGAGTACATTTAAGAAACTTAAGTTCCTCGTACTATTAAGAGTACATTTAGGAAACTTAAGTTCCTCGTACTATTAAGAGTACATTTAGGAAACTTAAGTTCCTCGTACTATTGTACGCTTATAATTTACGTACTGTTTAAAAGTACGTTTATAACATAAGAGTCTAATGTGGAGGCCCGGCTTACTACATATGACACCACTCTGTACCATACAGAACACTACGTCTTTCTCACGTAGCACTGCCGCTGCCGCCAACTTCTCCCAAGCTGGCCGCATAGCCTCCAACTCCGTCCAGAAGTCTTTTCGGAGATTGTGGTCGCGGTAAGGACTCATATGGCACACCAGAGCGATGAACCCTGACGCTTTCATTGGCTCATTCCCATGCTTGGGAAATATTCCCTTCGTTGGGTAAAGAACCATAGGGTCTGCTGACAGCAAAGGAACCATTTCCTTGAACCACCGTGCTTCAGGTAAGTACAGTACGGGCAAACCATTGTCACCGTTGCCTTGTCCCTGCGAATCCTGGCAACCACCTTGCCAAGATCCGACCACTTCGGGTTGAAGTACCAACGCGGTCCCATCCAGGTCCTCAAAGCGAACACGCCTCCAGCCAAGGTTGGCTGGTAGTACGGCTTCATCCGATAACTTGTCGGATGCGCGAAACCCTCAGCATCAAATGGGCCAAACCTTTGCCCAATTTTGTTAAAGAGCTGCCTGTTCACAACATACGACTCCATGCTTGGCTTAGCTACCACTGGTTCCGCCCAACGCACCCTATTTTCTACCGGCAGACGTCTCGCTTGCATGATCGGGTCTATGTGGTAACCCAGCCGAGACTGTACATCCGCCACAGGATTCAGCTTGGCTGGTAGTACGGCTTCATCCGATAACTTGTCGGATGCGCGAAACCCTCAGCATCAAATGGGCCAAACCTTTGCCCAATTTTGTTAAAAAGCTGCCTGTTCACAACATACGACTCCATGCTTGGCTTAGCTACCACTGGTTCCGCCCAACGCACCCTATCTTCTGCCGGCAGACGTCTCGCTTGCATGATCGGGTCTATGTGGTAACCCAGCCGAGACTGTACATCCGCCACAGGATTCAGCTCCTCTGGCACATGCTTCAGGATGATATAAAAATCACGCAGCACCCGCGCATATCTTGCCATCCGCCTGCCTCTAACCGTTGACTCATACGAGGTGGGGTCCTGTGCCAACATGTGCACCAGTGGTTCATGATCCGTGAACACCGTTAACGGGTGTCTCGAACGCTTGACAATCCTCCATGACTTATGGAGACAGTACACGATTGCGAGGGCATCCTTATCTGTGATGTGGTAGCCCAGCTGTGCTGGACTAAACTTCGAAGACCAGAATCCCACAGGACACAGCTTACTCTTTCGCCGAACAAACAAACCCCCACCTACTCCAACTGAGTCACAGGTATTGCAATACAGCTCCAGCCTGTCTTCAAATCCTGGCTCAACGAACACCCCTCTCTTGGCAACCTCTTCCCGAATCCGATCATAGGCCGCCTGCTGCGTCCGACCCCACACAAAGGAAACCTTTTCCTTGCTCAGATTCGAGATAGGGGCCATGATCCTAGAATAGTCAGGAATATACTGGCTCCAGTAGCCAATCGTGTGATACCACGAGGCCAAGAGATCCTTATCCGTGGGCGGTGGCATGCGCAGGATGAATTCCATCCGATCCTCACTGATGTACGAGCCATTCTCATCAACCACTCGTCCCAATGCGATAACCGGCCGATCTGAGAACCCAAAACAACACTTCTTGAGGTTCAATTTTGCGTTGTGCTTTACACACGCCGCAATGAGCTTCTTGACACTCGCCCAGTGCTCCCTAGCACTGTTGTGGCCTACGCCCATGTCGTCAATATAGGTCTTCAAGCCATCCACACTTTGGAAAGCATGCTTCATTCAGGCCTGCATGATCCACGATGCATGTTTGATACCGAACGGCATGCCAACAAACGTCCGCTTTCCCCACGGCGTTCAAAAGGTAATCATGTGCTGAGGACTCTCAGTCACCTTCTGTTGACAAAAACCCTGCCCAAGATCAACCATCGTGCGATACTTCTTACACTGTACTGCCGAAAGGAAATCTTGCTCGGTCGGTTCTGGGTATTCTTCACATCTAAGCGTGTCGTTCAACTTTTTGTAGTTGATACAGCAGCGCCAATCGTGGACTGACAAAGAAACCACGCCCGGGTTCTTAAAGACCATGTGCGGCATGACACAATAGCCCTTAGCCTCAGCCTCCAAGATTTCCCGTGTCACACCCCTATGATCCCAGTCACCAATCTTGGTGTCCAACACTGAAGTGAATGTCGGGTTATTGTTCGGGTACACATTGTAGGACGGCATTAACCCATCCTTCAGGTGAAAATCCACTCCGTTCCTGAAGCGAATGTCATCGTACACCATAAAGGTGGGTGCCGCTGCGTTTTATGCAGCCGACTGTATGGCCTTAATCATCTCCTCCAGCTCCTTCTTCGGGAGTCCACCCTTCTTGTGCAACTTCCGAAGCTGAGACTGGTCGAAGTCCAAATATGCTTCCGGATCCACCTCTTTCGCTGGCGAGATGGTGGCCGCGCCTATAGGCATGGCCACTTCAGCCAACAAGTCGTGCCACCGCGGCAGGACATATTCCTCCGCATCATCCAATTCGGCCACATTGGCCAAGTACTCGACCCTCTTCTGCACCTTAAGGAAGTGTGCTTGCATGGACGCAACATAATTTAGCT